TTTTTTTTTTTTTTTTTTTTTTTTTTTTTTTTTTTTTTTTTTTTTTTTTTTTTTTTTTTTTTTTTTTTTGCTTTATACGGAACAACGAAAGACGAGTTTTATCTCAACGACTGGCCCGAGATGTATCATAAATTTATATATATATTTGCTTCGTCAGGTATCATTAAAGGAGTAATTCATATTTTTCTCGCCTATTTTTTATTCCCTGGTTTATTACCTGTTCCGTGACTCGAGGGAATTGTATTATTATCTTATGTATAATTCCCCAACTCTGATTTCCTTTAAATCTTCGTGCTCTTTTCCTCTCCTTAAATCTCGTAAATTTGTCGAGAAAACAACGTTGCAAAAACAATTATTATTGCTATTATATTATTATTATATCGGAGAAAAAGTAGAAAATTCATTTCGCCACGACGAAACCGCGAAACTCGGTCTCGCATTCGCAATTTTATCTTTCCCACGAGGGGAGCTCGTACAGTTGTCTTACATCCACCGAGTTTATAAGTCGCAATTACAAACCTCGTAAAATATCTTACATCCGTAAAGTTTCTCTCTCCGCATTTTCCCTTTGGGCTAATTCTACGACCAAGGAGTCTCGCTACTTTTTCCCTTCGCCGGGTTTTGTCGCGAATATCGCGCAACTCCAATAACCAGCTTCTTCAACGACTCTCGTAATCGCTTCGCACGTTCGCATGACCCAGAAATCCACTTTTCCCTTCTTTCCACACGTGGCACGGAACGTTCACAAATCTCGCGATACACGAACTATATTTACTTTTCGCTTCGTCTCTCTCTCTCTCTCTCTCTTCTTTTTCTCTCTTTACTTTTTCAAACTTTTCGCTTCTTCGGATCCAAATTTTCCAAAATTTCCAACAGTTTTATATTATTTTATCCGTTCGAGATTCTCGCCTTCCTCTCGGTCGAGAACGCGAGGTTTGGGTTCAGAGGTCGACACGGATATTTTTTTCCTCGTTCTCGAGGCAACGCAGTGGTGCTCGATCCGATTTCGTAAACGTCGAGGGAAGGAAGGAAGGAAGGAAGGAAGGAAGGAGCGAAGAGAACAGTTTCGTTTCGACGGCTACCCAACACCCCGAAAAAGATATTCTTAATCTCTTTCGTTCTCTCTGGGCGTAGTCGGTGTATATCCGCGGCGAGACCAAACTATTCCACGAAGAATGCAAGAGGAGCAAATAGAGGAGGCGGCTAGCTGGGGCGGGCTGCGATGCAGCTGTTGATGTTCAAACGGCTGTTGCCTCTCTCCTCGTCTCTTTCATCCTGCGTTTCCTCTCCTCCCCTCCTCTCTCTCTCTCTCTCTCTCTCTCTTCTTTCTTTCCGTTCCGATCGCCGGTGAAAAGCAGAAAAGTTTCAACGGAAAGGGGAGTAACATCGGGGAAAATTCTCTTTCGCGAGGATAACCGAGAGAAATATCAAGCAACGAAAGCTACCTTATAGAAATTAATTTTATATCGTCTCTCTGGAAATCCCTTCTCGAAATTGTTGCATGCTACTCTTTCGATTACGACGCTAAAAATATTAAACCTCCGTTAAACTTGTTTTCGTACTACTCTAGGTAAAGGAGCAAACGATCGAATTATTCGATTAACGATATCAAAATATCGTTACGCTTCGAGTTTTCCAACGATAAACGCGATTCGAGAAACGCGTCCGAGCGATGAAATTCCGCGCTGAAATCACGGAAAGTCGGCCACCCTCGAAATTGAACCTTCCCCTTACTATTAGGGACATTAATGTAGCGTGAAAACGTTTTATCGAACGATCGTTGGAGATCCTTCGTACCGTAGGAAAATAAACGCGAAAATTTCTTCCATCTCGAAAGCGTTTGGAGAAATCTCGGGCCGCGTTTTATCACTCGCCACTTTGTCGACGGGCCGACGTCGCGATACCGAGTCGATTTATATACCGGCCGATCATCCTATCTCGCTCCTCCCGATTCTTTACGAGCCCCCATTTCTCAGATAAGCCACTTGGATTTTTCTCCAAGGACCCCTCTCCCCTCCTCGAGCGGAAAAATCGCGGGATTACAGGATCGACTGGCTTCCTTCCCCGTCCCGAAACTTCGCGCAACGATTTAACGTCCAATTTCGCGACGTATGGTGTTAATTACACGCAAGAACAACAAGACTTATGAGCGAGAAAGAACAAGAAAGAAACACGGTGACAAAACTCGATCCACCGCACCTGCGCACTTTCTCCCCTCGAGGAAGAGCTCGCTCCACTTCCGTCAAAATCATCACTAACTAAAAAAAAAGAAAAAAAAGAAGAAGAAGAAGAGTGAAACTCGCGCGTACGTTTTTCTAGACGAGAAGGATGGAGAAGAGAGAAGGGGGAGGTGCAGTCTAGCCGGAAGCGTAGCACGGGATCACCGGCCACGATCCATCGCGTTACATCGGCGGAATAATCCGCAACGAGGCAGCAGAGTGGTGGGTTCTCTATCAGGTTTCATTAGCGGGGCCAATCATCTCATCACTGGGATACGCTCGTGTAGTGGGTTGTGTACTTACCACGGCCTAACCCGTTTCTCTGGTCCCTGACCTAATCTCCGCGAGTCGGAGATCGGGCGAGGGACCGAGAGGAGTACGAAATCGATCGAGGATCACTTGGCCGGCCAGCCAGGCTATCGTAACATCGAAATCACTGGCGGAGCCGGTCAACGGCTTATATTAAGCCCCGGCTTAGAACGTAAACGCGTTTTCCATTTCGTGGCGCTGCAAGAGAGAGAGAGAGAGAGAGAGAGGTGGAGTGTGCGAAAACAGCTTACGTAGGGATAGAACGTATCGGGACGTATTGTAATTGGACCGGATCTAATATATTCCGCGACGCGTCAGCAATATCGCGCGATATTGTTTCCCGACCACCTGGATCCCTTCCGCCTTCCGATGGCGACCACCGGCTCCCAGATTAGTTTCGTAGTAGGCCGGCCCGTGATGGGGGCGCGAACGACTCCTGCGAGTTCGTTTCGTAGTTCGTTTAAACGCATCGTTCGCGGTGTGGACGATGTAGAAATGATCGCGTGGAATAACTTGTTGGATTTAAAAACGGAGGGTGGAGGAAGCATTACGAAGCTGTGCGCGCTGGATTTTTCTTTCGATGCAAATTTTATTACGAACTTGAAATTTTATTCGAATTTATTTGATATTATTTAAATCGGATATTTTCTTTTTTCTAGAAATTTCTTTGTAACGGGGAATTGGTATTGTTAGAGAATAAGGATAATTAGAAATAATATTAATAGCGATGTAGAGAATGTTGATGCATTTTATTATTAACCGTTCAATTAGGATAATTTTCTTGCTAAAACTAATTGGCGTTACGTTACGTAATGAAATGAAAGTATGAACGTTCGTTAACTCTAATTCGTTCGATCTTTCGTTTCACGAGCTCCATTTTGTTTTCTTTCCTTTTTCTTCTTCTTCTTCCTCGGAAAATATTAGCACGAATCTTTCTACGCATCGATCTCGTAGATTTTACGTGTAATTTATGTAGTCGTTTTAAATTTTATGGGAAAATGTGTATTGGAAATGTAGGCGATCGGATGACACGCCGGCCCCGATCGACGGCCAAACTTTCCGTTCGTGTTCCTATTTCGTCACGGTCCTATATACCTCGTCCTTAATATCCACCGAGTGTTCCATACGAGTAGTAGCGTGTCACGTGTTGCCAGGATATTAGACCGCCGTCCTAATGGAGCCTTTAAGCCAAATATCTTTATATAGGTTTACGTGTACGATTCTAGTTTTCGATAAGAAAACTTTTTCTTTCGAACGAACGTCCCCGAGAGAATCGATCTTAATCGATTAAAACTTATCGTCGAAAAATTGCCAACTCTCGCATTTCGTGGAAATCTTTTGCAATCTGTTTTCTGCGTTCGTCCAAAAGGCGGACGTAAATAAATCTTTTATAATCTTGGGAGATATTCGTCATCTAAAGTAACGTCCTTCGTGTCTCGGATTTTCTTTAAAATTCCATTCGGAGAAAGTTGGCGAGTTTGAATTGAAAGAAAGGATTAGAGGAGTTTTTTTTTTTTTATTAATTAAATTGAATTAAAGATTCGTTCACGGAAGAAGGTAGGTGCGCATCCGCGAAATGACGAAACGTTTGCCAGTCACGTGTTGTCACGATTCCCCGAGCAATGCGCGAGGGAAAAGAGGGGGAAAAGACGAGATTCGAGAAACAGGATGTCGCAGATGAAAACTTTGCTCGCGATAATTATAAATACGAAGCAGAAAAAGATGTTTCGTTAGGTACGGTTCGGAAATCTAAAAATAATGCGTCCCGATCCTCGACCCGTTCCATTCGTCGAGGTTCATCGACAGAGACAACGATTACGATATACATACTTTGCGCACAAAATCTAAGGTCGTGCTAGATAACAAGTTTTCCATCACGAGTGCACGTTACAATTATGCGATATACAATTTTTTATTCACTCGTTCAATCATCGTCGAATTTTCCCATACGTTTTCTTATTGTATTTCCATTTGCGATAACTCACAATCGAAACGATATAACTTGTACGAAAAGGAACGAAATAACGAATATATGAGCGTAAAGATTTTTGCAGGCTCTTTGTTTGTTCCTTTTTTTTTTCTCCAATTAAAAAAAGAAAAAAAAAAAGAAGAATCTCGAGATCGTATCGTATCGACAAAGAAGCGAATTCCTTTATTGCGATTCATTGGCGGGGTCTTTACAGACGGCGTATCGGCCGAGCAACTCGTGATCTCGCTCTCTCTTCCCCAATGAAATCTAAATATACCCTATGATATTAATAGCGTATGGTGTATGGCGGTGGCAGAAGGGCCGTTTCATACGCCCGCGTTGCACGTCGCCTTTTGGACGAATGCAGAAAACGAATGCATTCTCTCACCCTCCTGTTTCCAACAGACACTTAACGATTCCACCAATTCTATTCTACCGAGTTTTTCTTTCTTCT